TGTCCCCACCAACATGGAGAAGAGACTGCTTGTCTGGCATCTGAGTTCGGCACTCATACCACACCAAACCTAGCATCAGAGACACGACCCCAAAACGCCGCAGTGCACAGGGCTCAGCCACTTTCTTTTGCTGGATCAGGCCCTAAATTAAGAACTCCATGTCTCCAAGAACTCCAGGGCTTGCAAGGATCCTAGGAGCCACTGTGCAGAACCGCTCCCCTCTGTGCCCATCAGCGCAAGAGCTGGGAGCAAGGCACAAGATTTCGGTGCCTCGTCCCTGAGGGAACGGCCCAAGGCTTTGGCTCCGAGCGGCTGGAGGGACCTCGAGCAGAGCCGCGGGTGGCCCCGCTGCTCCAGAGCACTCTCACCCCTGGGTTATTCCGCGTTGCCTTTACGGCCCGTTTTGTTTCTCCTCCGCATGGAGAGCCGGGGAGCTGCTCACACTCGTGTTCCTCCCAAGTGCAGCTCTGACGCTGATCCAAACCATAGCCGCTGCCCCTCTTCTGCCCCTTCCTCAGGGCAGCGGCTCTGCAGCTGGGCTAGATGGGCCCTGGGAAACCCCAGCATTAAGCCAAGGGCTCCCCGTGCGTGGACAGGAACAGGACTTGGCACGGACCTCAGGCCCAGGAGGATGTTGGTCAGTGCTGGCAGCATCCAAGGGCAATCAGAGCTCTGGAGTCGTCTCCACGACACGTTGAAGCAATCAAGCCACTGTACGTGGTCTTCAGAATTTCAGTCTCCTATAAAATTACCTCCAAGAACAGTCAAAACCTTGTCCAAACTAGTAACAAATGTGAAATACCCGGCCCCAGCCCCGCTATGAGGAGAGGAGCTCAAGCAACACTTCCCACATGCCTCGAGCCCGACGGAGTTCAGGTTCTTTCAACTACTTCCAAGCCCCTCTCCATGCTTTCCCAGCCCCAATCCCTCCTGATGCCTCCTGCCTGGGAGATGAGGCAACCTGTTTGAAACTCCATCACCACGGACGTGCCGGGTGCCGGGTGCCAAATCCCCCTGCTCCTCGCTCCCATTCAAAGGTAAAAATGCTCCTTAACCACTGCAGGCAGAGGGAAAGACAACAAGCACAGGACTCTCAATTCCTTTCACTGGGATCCAATAAAAACCTTGGCAGTTGCCTGCCTTCCTGCTGGAAACCCGATATCCCAGAAATAAACCCTCTTTCCACTTTGAAGGGCTGCAGCGGGCTCTGCCGTGGGGCCGAGCTGCTCCCACCACCCCCGGGCTCTCACCTGCCCGCAGCATCCCCGGCCGCAGCAGGAGCCCGAGGCAGAGCAGGGAACTGACCCAAATCTCTTGATTTTCTCATGGAAGCCGAGCACCCTGCGCCTGCCCGTAGACGGTGGGGTGCCAGGCACCGGGACCAAGCCCGGCCATGGCACTGAGTGCCACGCATCGGGGAGCAGATGCTCTCGGGTCCCTCCAAGCCCTCCCCGCTCGGCCCCCGCCGCCTCCCTGCACATCTGCTGCGCACGTCGCACACCCAGCTTGCGCTGCGATTTGGCAGGGAGGCCAAGCTCGGCTCCAGACACTTTGCAACACAAAGGATATTATCTGATAAAAAGTAAATCAAGCCTGGCTTTGTGGAGGAAGGGGAGCGAACGATGCCTGGACTCTCACCTCGCCAGTAACCGGAGCCTATGGAGCTCAGCAACTTCAGAGCATGCCTCTAACAGGAGAGGCTGCCGCGCCGGGCCCGGCCCCTGCC